CACAAGTCTTAAAGTTGCCAAGGTTGGACACCCCTGGTCTAAACGTTCTCATCTTGGACAGAAGAAGTTCAGAAATGGAATTCCCTGGGGAAATAGCTAGCCTGTTTTTGGATGGAGAATTTCTTTCTTGCCACGTAAAGCTCTGATACTGTAGGTCCTAATTAATAGAATAGAATAAAATAAAAATAAAATAAAACCTGTTTCATTCCCTAAAGTGAGGAGTACTATGAAATGTGGCCATGTCTGGACACAGGTAACCAAACTGAAAGCATGAGTGAGCCAAAACTGGGTAGTCTGAATGTAAAGTGTTTAAGCTTCGGTGAAGAAGCAAAGAGAAGGAAGAAACTTAATTAAAACCTCTTAGTGTTCTTTTTATTTGTATGAGGAGGAAAGAGATAATCAGAATGTTTTCACGTTCCATTTCCTGTGGAAGGGAAAACAGTAAAGTCACCATCATCCCTCAACAGCTGATACTGTAAAATATCAACTGTTCTTGAAACACAAAAGTGATTTTTCAAGAGGCAACTGGACTTTCTGGTTTTTCTTTGAAGATGTTTCACTTCTTACTTCTCATCCAAGGAGCTTCTTCAGCTCTTCAGTTCTTAAACCATCTGAAACTCAGATTTCTTTAAAAACAACAACAACTGTGAAGCTTACCTTGAGTATCACGATTGTCTAGATTAATTTTCTGTAAAATTACAAAGTTGGAGCAGGAGACCTTCTTTGGAGAAGAATTTGCACAACCAAGTTGTTCCCTCAGAAAGGTCAATATACCCTAGTAACCCTGCCTTATTTTGGAGGACAATCGGAGTGAATTGGGTTTGTCCCTTAAGAGCTTCAAAATCAAAATATATAGTGAGACATTTTCAAAACCAGTAAACAACACGTGTTAACATATCAAAGTGAAGTTGCTTTTTGAAGTTGCGATGCTTCTCAAGGCACATAAATCAAGGCCAGTCTGCAGTGTTTTTAAGCCTCTATAAGAGGAGGCTGCAAGATTCTGTTACTGTAATTTTACAATAATAAAGGTAGTGTTAGTATTTGGATTTCTTGTCTGAACTGACTTGAAAACTCAATGTTAACCGCACCAAACTTGATTGCAGGAAATATGACTTCAGCAATAGAGTGGTCAATGTCTGGAATACTCTACCCGACTCTGTAGTTTCTTCCCCAAACCCCAAAAACTTTAACCTTAGACTGTCTACTATTGACCTCACCCCTTTCCTAAGAGGTCTGTAAGGGGCGTGCATAAGCGCACCAACGTGCCTACCGTCCCTGTCCTATTGTTTCTCTTATTCTTTTTTTATTTTTCTTATATGTACCCATTTCATGTATTCACAACTATGTATACACTTATACTTATTATCTTGTAAACAATTGGCAAATCAAATAAATAAATAAATAAATAAAAATAAAAAGCAAACATAAATCTTGCAAGTCTCAAAGGACATCCGCCTTCCACTTGCCTTTGCTTTCCAGAGAAATAGGGAGGTTTCCTCCTGAGATGTTTGCATGTCCCCATTCCCTTTGCGGGCTGAGAGATCTACCTAATCATCATCGCCCTGGCTGCAACTTTTCCTCTTCTTCTCTCTCTCTCTCTCTCTCTCTCTCTCTCTCTCTCTTAAGGACATTCCCACAGACCATCTGTATCATGCAAGGAAAGAATCTGATCTAATGCACCAGGAATCCCTACTGGCATTTATGGCTCTTTTAAGAGCTTGATATATACATATTTATTACATTACATAACCACCCAATTTGCAATTGGAATTCTGGACAGAGAACATAAGGATTCAAATCAACAGGATGAAAATAATAACAATAAACCACACTGGCCCATTAATAATGCATAAGGGCACATAATGGCACTCAAGTGTAATAAAAACCTCGACCCATCACCATCATGTCAACAAAGATCACAGCTCATCCAACTTACAGGCTCCATGTCCTTTGAAGACATAGGAAACAGCTGCGAGGCCAGGGCCAAACTAATCTGCAGGGGTTTGTTGTTCCAAAGGGCAGGCACAATAGGAATCTTAGAGCCATTCACAAAATACTCACTGGGGTGGTTGTAATTGGTTGCTTTCCCTCCCCCCACCTTCATACCAGAAGATCCATGAAATACTGCTAGACCCTCCATTTTATTTTTCAAGAATGTTCCCGGCCTCTATTTGCTTATGTATATTATGTACATTACGCATATTAACCTAGCTTCCCAATCATTTATTTAAATTATTATTTCAGATAACAGATAATCAGAGTTGGAAGGGACCTTGTAGGTCATCTAGTCCAATCCCCCGCCCAAGTGGGAGACCCTATACCATTTCTGACAAGTGGCAGTCCAATCTCTTCTTGAAAGTTTCAACTGATAGCGCTCCCACAACTTCCAAAGGCAACTTCTGTATCATGTTCTCACTGTCAGAAAGTTTCTTCTTATTTCCAGGTTGAATCTCTCCTTGATCAGTTTCCATCCATTATTCCTTGTCTGGCCTTTGGGTGCTTTAGAAAACAGCTTGACCCCTTCCTCCTCCCTGTGGCAGCCCCTCAAATATTGGAAGACTGCTATCATGTCTCCCCTGGTCCTTCTCTTCACTAGACTAGCCAAGCCCAGTTCCTGTAACCATTATTCCTGTGTTTTAGCCTTCAGCCCCCTAATCATCCTGGTTGCTCTTCTCTGCACTTTTTCTAGAGTCTCAACATCTTTTTTATAATGTGGTGATCAAAGCTGGATGCAGTACTCTAGATGTGGTCTTACTAAGGCTTTATAGGGTGGTATTAGTACCTCCCTTGATCTTGATTGTTTCCCTCTGTTAATACAATTTAGGATTGCATTAGCTTTTTTGGCTGCTGCTGCACACTGCTGGCTCATATTTAGGTGGTTGTCCACTAAGACTCCAAGATCCCTCTCACAGTTACTGCTATTGAGCCTGGTTTCACCCAGTCTATATGTGTCCTTTTGGTTTTTCTTGCCTAAGTGTAGGACTTTACTTTTCTCTACATTGAATTTCATCTTGTTAGATACAGCCCAGTGTTCTAGTCTGTCAAGATCCATCTGGATCATGAGCCATTTTTTTTAAAAAAAGCTAACATCATAACAGGTAGTCCTCGGATTACAAGCACAATTGAGCCCAAAATTTATGTTGCTCAGGGAAACATTTGTTAAGTGAGTTTTGCCCCCCATTTTATGACCTTTCTTGCCAACGGCTGTTAAGTGAATCATTGCTTTTTGTTCAGCTAGTAACAGGGTTCTTAAGGGAATCTTCATTTCACTTGTCAGAAGATTGCAAAAGCGGATCTCATGAGCCCAGGACACTGCAACCAACATAAATATTAACTACTTGCAAAGCCTCTTTGTCAGAGTGTATTTATTAATTGGCAGAGACATGGTTAACAAAGTCAGCCAAGTTGAGAAAGCATGGCAACAAACCAGCCAATGGGAGCTGACAGCCTGGATGTGGTTGGGCTCTGTGTGCTTTGCTGAGAATTGAAACTGAAACTAGACTTCATTTCTGAGTCTGATATCTGCTCTGAGCTGCTGCTGCTTGTGTTTTTGCTTAAGTTAGGTTGAAAGAATCTGCAAATGGTATTGTAAACTTTACTCATATTATTATGTTTATAAAGAAGTTAATGGTCCTGCTGAATCAGTCATCTGTGTGTTTTTTGGACTTGAATTTTTTCCGCAAACTCTTAACACATCTGAATTTTGATCATGTGACCATGGGGACGCTGCAACGGTTGTATGTGTGAAAAACGGTCGTGAGTCACATTTTTCAGGGGCCTTGTAACTTTGAACAGTCACTAAATGAACCATTGTAAGTCGAGGACTACCTGTACAGATAGTAGTTTTGGCAGCTATCAGGCAATATGGGACCAGACTCATTCTTGGATATTGGAATACTTCACAATAGGGTTGGTTTTTATCCCATTTTTACTGTTTTTTTTATACTGTAAACTCAAAAAAGGGAAACATATCTAGTATTCCTTCTTCCTCCTTCCTTTTTTGATTCACTTCCATTTGCTGAGTTATATTTTTTCTTTTTTTAGCCAGTGCTCATTTCACCGAAAAAGAAGCCCTCATGTCAGAATTGAAGGTGCTGAGTTACCTTGGGAATCACATCAATATTGTGAACTTACTTGGAGCCTGTACTATTGGAGGTAAGATTCTGACAAGTGTTTGTTGAGCGCGGTCAGAAGAGAAGGAAGGATAGCCATTCACGCATCAAGAGTTTCTAAGAACAAGGGCCTAGCTGTGTATATTTGAGGCCAAGCAATGATGGAAAGCTGTTTTCATTTTTTCTGGGGTTGATTGCTGTGGCACCCCGAGGAATTCATAATGTCTATGTATCTCATCATAAATAAGTAATCCTTTCATTTTGAACCCAGTCGGCATACTTATGATTATTCTACTCCAAGACTGGGACGTCATAAAGACAGAAGGGCATAATCTAAATATAAAAGAGGCCATCAGCATGTTCAGGTAACACAAATGTTTGCAAAGCTTCAAATACTAATTGGAGCAAACTGTGGGAGAATGGTCCAAAGGTTCTCAGTAAACATATAATGCAGTCTTATCTTTTGTGGGTGGAGAAAAAAAAAAGAGTATTATCAGAGTGAATCCATTTGACTTACCAAAATACCAATCAGGAGCCTTCAGACTGCGTACTTTGATTATCTACTGTATTATATTGTACATATAAGACTTTATCCATGTCTTTTAACTGTGTTTTTCTGCACCCGCCAGTGGTTAAAAGTTTTTTTTATGATATCCATCTCAACATAAGCAAGTAGTAATTTTACTTTGACAAACCCTGTAGAACAGGGATCGCCAACCTTTTGGACCTCAGAGACCACCAAACTTATCATTTTAAAATCCTGCAGACCAGGGACCCTGGGAAAATCCCCAAAAAGGTTGCAGAAAAATTCCCCACCCCGTTTTCCTACCAATCGATCATTCTTTATTTGGGATCGCAGGATCCCATCTCCAGCTCCGTTCTCAGGGGGGAGAAAGAGAGACTTTTGGCTTCATGCAAGAAAAGCAGCAGAAGCATCAGAAGTCTTTCTTTCTCTTCCCCCAAACTCCACAAGAAATGAGTCTTTGCTGGGCGCAGCCTCTTGGAGCAGGATGCCTTGCAGGGTCCCAAAGACTCATTTCTGGCGGGGTTTGGGGGAGAGAAAGAAAGACTTTTACTGCTTTCCTTGCGTGCAGCCAAAAGCAGAAGAAGAAAGAAGCAGCCCAGTGGCCAGGCCAGGTGCGTGGGGTGAGTGAGGCAAGTTCCCCTCTCCGCCTTTTCTCCCCTCCCCTCACTACCTCGTGTTGTTTTCAATGCAAGCAATGCAAGCCTTGTGTTCCAGCGGGTCATGTGGGCGGCGCAGCCTTGTGTCCCCTCACAGCCTGGATTAATTGCTTTGGGGGGGTGCTTTGGGGGTGACATTTCCCTGCAGACGACCAAAATTTTCTCGCGGACCACCAGTGGTCCCCAGCCCACTGGTTGGTGACACTGCTCTAGAAGGATAGTTGCCGAAATATGCTTTAAGATAGTTAAGAGAATTATTATGATCTACTCGTATGAGCCAGCATTCAATAATTGAAATTCCAGACAATATTATTATATATTTCATTTTTTAAATTAGCGGCCAGGCACTTGGAACACGCATTTTTGATATAAAAATATTTTGTACTACAGACAACCTGATTCTATCATGTTTTGATCTTTTAATATGTTTTCTAAAAGTCATAAGCATCTGGCTTTCAGTCTTAATAGCTGTTCTGTCCAAATGTGTGCTTTTTTTCTCTCTATTACACTGAGAACTATAATATTTAATGTTGTTTCTAACATTACTATATGAATAATAAATGGGGTAAATCAAAGGAATAAATGTTAAAAGCTTGTATTTGGAACGGAGATGTTTCTTCAGGAAGGAGTCTTTAAAATGAAGCAGATGTATCTGGTTTGCGCCAATAACACAGAATTTACTTAGTGTGCGTGTGCATATGTGTGTTTCTGCACTGCAGTCCTATTGATGTGCGAGGATAATTAATTGGAAACGACAGCATTCTAATCGGGATGAAAACCCAGCTTCTGAATGAAGATGTTGCTGATGTAATTCTGCTCTGACTTTTCAAGCCAAAACACTAATCTATAGTGCGGCTTTGAAAAGGTCCCATTTTTGTACGTGTAGACAAATAATCTTTTAAAAGAATTATTTTTTTTTGTAAAGTCTCAGACAGAATGCAGAATTCACCCACGCTTCACACTTCCTTTGCATCTGCAGGTCCTACTCTGGTCATCACTGAATATTGCTGTTATGGCGACCTTTTGAATTTCCTAAGGAGGAAACGAGATTCCTTCATTTGCCAGAGGCCTGAAGAAACTGCTGTTTACAAGAACATCCTCTATCAGAAAGAACACATGTAGTAAGGCTGTGTCGCCAGAATTGGCAGTTATTCCCAGGAAATCATAGTGCATTTTTGTATGCTTTTTTGGCTTTTAGAAATTTGTGCCTGTTTTACAAGAGCTGTACAGGCACCGGGGGGGAGTGTGGGGTGTTGATTCTTTTTACAGTATTTATAAATTCACCATTCTTCAGAATTGTGTCCAGTACGGCAGGGGTCCCCAACCACCGGTCCACGGACCGGTACCGGTCCGTGGAACAAGTCCTACCGGGCCGCTGGTTTGCTGGGCGCCGCCATCTTGTTTTGATGAAAAAGTGCTTCCGGTGAGCTTTTCCGGGTAGAAAGCTCACCGGAAGCACGTTTTCATCAAAAAAAGATGGCGGCGCCCAGCTGATGCCGGTACCGGGCCGCGCCATAAAAAAGGTTGGGGATCACTGCAGTACGGTATATACTCTGTGTGTCTTTCATGTAAGTTTTTTAAATAGTTTGGGTCCATATCCACCCAAGAAGCTGATTTCTGTGCAAGGATGCAAATTCTGGATTAACGGTGCAAGTCTTTAGCGCGTAGTCTTCTATTTAAGAGGGAGTTTCAATTCTTCTTCTGATGTTATAGTTACATTTTCTGTACATTCATCTGGGGCTGAGCAACATTTCATTGTCTACCTGCTATATATTTCAAAAAGAGAGGTAGAATGGTAGAGAGCCACAATGCCCAGCTAATGGCAGTAGGTCAAGATACTTGTATAATGGGTCCATCTGAATAGCTGGAATTGAGAGTGGGTCACATTGGGGGAATGTATTTTTGAGTAACTTCGATGTGTTAAGCTTGAATGGAAACCTACAACACCGGTTTTTGTCTTTTATTTTGTCATGACAAAATTGTATCACACAGCTTTGGAAACTTGAGTATTGTGATTTGGGGATCAGACAAAATGGCAACAGAGATGGCTGTGAAGGGAATATTCAGAATCTTATAGAGACAACATGTGCAGAAGCGTTCCTTAAGTTGAGAGAAAATAGGTAGAATTAAGAGAAATCGACTCCTCCCTGACTCAGTGGGATGGGATATAAGAGAGAGGGTAGGTAAAATACAGGCGCACTTGTAATTGTGTATTACTGTAATCCAGGGATGCTGTCTCAGGAATTCTGGGAGTTGAAGTCCACAGGATATAAAAACAGGGTGATAGTTGCCCACTCCTGCCGTATCCTATGGAGTTGGTTTTCTGATATGTCTGCATTATAGGACAAACAGAAGCTCTGGAGTAGAAAGTTAGCTTTCTAAGAAAGCATCAGTTTTAATACGAACTACTGATTAAGATTTTTGTAATCCAGAGAGGAAGTATTTATATCTTAAACACAATGGGCACAGCAATCTGAGTTTAATAACCAATACACAGGGCTTCTAAGGGCATTTAGCATCCTTAGGAATTCCAGGGAAACACTTTTTCAGACTGATTCTAGGAAGCAGTGACTCTGTCAAGTGCCAGGGAAATCAGGAAATCCAGGCAATTCAAATGGATATAAAGATTTATTGCAAGCATAAGTTCTCTACAAGAATCTGAGCTACTAATGGGCCCAAGCAAACTGGTGGTAGATAATGAGTCACAGGAATTCAAGGTGGGCTGGATGTAACATCTGTTGCGGGCGCGAAGAGACTCATGACTGATGAGGCATTTGACCCCTCCTCCCTTGGCCATTTGCTACAACAGTGGTCCCCACCCTTGGTCCGTGGACTGGCACTGGGCCGCGCTATGCCAGAAACCGGGCCGCGCCAACAAGCATAGCCCCATCCATGGGATGCAGGCAGCACACGAAACCATGCCCCCTCCAGTCCGTGGGAAAACCTCTCTCCATGGAACGGTCTCTGGTGCCCAAGAGGTTGGGGCCGCTGCCCTACAGATCCCTTCTAAGTGGACAAGAAGCCTCGGTGCTTTGCTTGAGAACAAGAACTTCTGGGTGTAGAGACCCCCAGTTGGCAAAATGAAATGGTCATTCAAGGAAGTTCAGCGGTGGTGTTTTGGAGATGTCAAGGTGCCTTGTATTAAAACAAAGCAGCTTGTATTGGTAAAAACAAAGCAGCTTGTTAAGGTGGATTGTTGTGACAAATCCGCTTAGTTTGAGACTTACAAATTTTTTTAGGAATCACAGTCCAGTTCATTTCCTTTGGACATTTATTCCAACTAACCCATTGGGTCACAAATATTGTTCCATTAATTAACCAAATTATTCAGGCCCCCAATAACTATAGTTACTATTACATGGTCTCTTACCAACGTGCTTAAGAAATTCATTTGTTAATACAATTTTATTTCATTTTTCACATTTTAAAAACATCTCTTTGTAGTGAACAACATGATTCCAGGTTTTCACACTCCCGTACAAACATGACTATATTACATACTCATCTTTCACATTTAGTTTCATATCTCATACCTTCATATTCATTATACTATTATACTTTTATCTCTCAGGTTTGCTGTTTCATCGCGTATTCTTATTTCATCAATTCACAAATTCTAATTCAATTTAAACATTTCAAAGAGATTTCCCCCCACAATTACTAATTTGAGTATGCCACCCCTATAACTTATATATTCTCTAATTAACCCCCCTTTAAATCCCAATATGCATTTAACTTTTAATTATTACCTAAAAAATTAATAATAATCTCCTAACAACTACATAACATATATACCTTTTAGGTCAGATTCTATTACATAGAAATTATTTATAATTTCAGAAAGAACAATCTATTCAATTAGTCATAAACACTGATATTAATCTTGCAACAATCCTCATAATTCATTTCAGCTATCTTCTATACATACATTAAACATAGATAATAAACTTATAATTTTTCTTTTTTCACATTTATTCTATTTATATCCATATATAGTTTAACAAGCAAACAGTCCAATAACAATAAAAAATACCAGTTCTAATCTTTCATTTTGATAATCTACCTTTCCCTATTTTCTAAATAGTTTATAACTTCAAATACATTTACATTCCCGCTTATCACCTTGCAGAATCCCCTTTCTTAATTCTTATTAAACCATTATCTCTGTGTCTTTTAGATAAACAAAGAAATTCATTTCTTCATAGTTTTTTGAGCTAGCCAAAGTTCACTTGGATCTGGCATCCAGTTAGAAAAAATGGAGATAACTAACGTCAGATGCTAATAGAGGTCCGAACCTTTTAATTTTTAAATAATTTTTGCCCAAAGTGTATATAATATGAAGTAGAAATTCTTTCAGGAGGTATAAATAATCAGATAAAAAACTTATCAGGTCAAGATTAACTATTCCTTCTAACAAGAAATTATCTGCATGCAAAAAGACCTCTTAACATTATGATCTGCTGCTTTCTTATTTAATTTGTGTTATTCAAACAAAATCAGTGATAAGTCATTTCTCAGGAGGTCCGTCAATTAATAAAGGGAATTTCCTACAATAAGATAGCTTTTGGAAAAGGAAAATTTTTTGGTTCTGTAAAGAAGATTAACCTTCTTCAGCCCAAACAACTTCTTATTTAAACTGCCTTTTCATTATTAATTCTAAGAGCCTTTCCTGTAAAATGTCAGAATTCAAATATAGCGCTCACAGTGGTATCTTCAGTCCCATAGCCAGGTGTCTTCACCTTTCATCAGGTTAATAATAGATTTTGGTTTCTTTTCAAGAAATGTGGTTTATTTAGCAATTGAAGATTTTACATGCTTCCTTTGTTCTTGTAAAAGGTATTCTTTATTTGAACGCCATGTATGAATTAATCTCATATTTCCTCTGCTTTCCACACAGTGATGCCACCAATGAGTACATGGACATGAAACCAGGAGTTTCTCAAGTTGTCCACGCCAAAACCACTAAAAGACTAGGTAATTGGAAAAAAGGGTGGGAACTTTTGTTCTGAAATTGTTGATATTTGCTTACACATGCCAGTTAAAATAAAATTTAGGTTAAAAGAAGTGAAAGCAATTTTACAATGTTAACGTTGGCTGGGGGAATTTATATTCTTTTTTTTAAAAGAAACTAAATAACATTAAATAGCATCAAATAAATAGAATTTATTTGAATAGCATTTCTGTAGGACCTTGGTGCCATGCTCTGTCGATAAAATGTCTGCTCTGTTTCCAAGTCACATCATTTCTCCCATTTATTGTTCCCACATGTTCTGCTTAGGGTCATTGGCTAATCAGGATGTCACGGTTGCCATTTTAGAAGATGATGAATTAGCTCTGGATGTTGAAGATCTGTTAAGTTTTTCTTACCAGGTAGCAAAGGGGATGAGCTTTCTTTCATCTAAAAATGTAAGTAGAGACTCAAGAAAATAGATTTTTTAAATATATGTATGGAATGATATTAGATTATCATACTTCCTCCCTTTCGTATAAGAATCACGATGTTCTCTGTACTTTCATTGTTAATAAATCTTTAGAGAAGTGCAATCTTGTACAATCTTGTATTATCTTGTAGAAACAATAGGAACTCTGGTCCCATTTTTTTCAGTCTTTGCCTATATATCAGATAGGCAGTGTCTAGCACCAATTTTTGGCAAGGCATCTCCAATTGCAGATAGGCATGAAATCTGCAAGTTCTTCAGTGCCCTGTTGTATAACTTCAAAAAAAAATATTACATTGCACGCTTGGCCTCAAGTGTACAATGTTTTGCTTAGAGAACCCCTGTGTTACTGGAAATAAATGAGATAATATTGCCAATATCAATAGCCTTTTGGATTGGCGCTATTTCTTCTATTCCTCCTCCTCTGACATCTGTGATAACCCTCTTGTTGGTTTCTGAAATGAGAATGCCAAAATCTAAACAAGATGCAGCCTTGTGGGCTGGTGTGAAAAGAAGGGGGAAATCAGATGCAACTCCTCTTAAGATCAAAATTCTCTCTCCAGACTCAAACCACCAATATTGTGACCCACAGATTCTGTCCCAGAAGCCATAAGATTATACTTTAATTTAGAAATAGTGACCAAATGCATTCTGAACCTGAAGTTTACATAGAAGCATTCGCCATTGGTTTCCACAGAATATTCTTCTGAAGCATTGAGCTATCAGGAAATTGTGATCTTAATGATATGACCTGTGAATGGATATTTGTACAAGGTTGAAATGTATATTTTTTGTGTTAATATAGGATCATCGTGCGTGTGTGTGTGTGTGTGTGTGTGTGTGTATTCATATTCTTAAGTTTTCGCCAGGACTTACATGTATGTTATTCAGCTTTGTTCGGGTATTTTCCCACGTCATTGTAGTTGTGCTTTTAAAGTTGTAGCAACGTTTCAGCAGAATCTCATCTACCATCATCAGGCTTCTGTATTGTGTTTGTCTGTGAGGCAGACTTTTACAGTTGTTTCAGTTTTAAATTTGGGGCTAGCCTACTCCTATTCTGGCAATATAAACCATTCTGGCACAGCAGTAGGCTAGCCTCAAATTTAAAACTGAAACAGCTGTAAAAGTCTGACTCACAGACAAACACAATACAGAAGCCTGATGATGGCAGATGAGATTCTGCCGAAACGTTGCTACAACTTTAAAAGCACAACTACAATGACGTGGGAAAATACCCGAACAAAGCTGAATAACTAACATACATACATACATACATACATACATACATACATACATACATATATGCCATACATGTAAGTACCCGCGAAAACTTAAGAAAACATAGATATAGATATAGATATGGTATTCAGCTTTGTTCGGGTATTTTCCCACGTCATTATAGTTGTGCTTTTAAAGTTGTAGCAACGTTTCACCAGAATCTCATCTGCCATTATCAGGCTTCTGTATTGTGTTCATCTGTGAGTCAGACTTTCACAGCCATTTCTGTTTTAAATTTGGTGCTAGCCTACTGCTGTGCCAGAATGGTTTTTTCTTCATCCTGATTGGTTGGGAGTCTTGGTCTGTGTTTATTGGTCTTGGAGTTTGCTGTGTTCTGCTTGATTGGTGTTTCTAATATCTTCTGTCTGTTTTGTAGCTTTTTTTTGTCTTGATTGGCTGGCAACATTGTGTTTCCTGTATTGGAGGCTTTTAGTGCAGCTTGGCTCCGAGTAAACGGACAGCTATCATTTATTAGGAAGCTAGGTTTCATCTGGGTGCCTGGTTGGGGTGTGTTTGAGCTGGAGGTATCAGGGGGAGTCTGTTTGTGCCCAGGTGTTTGCCTGGCTTGTGGTGTGGAGATTTTGTTTGAGAGTTCAGGCTTCCAAATAATTGACAGTCTCGTGGAGTCATCTCTTCTATTCATGCTTTCAGGTCTTTTTTTCAATCTCTATGGCTTCTCTGATAATTCTGTAGCTGGGGTTTTCTATAGTGGCTAGGGTTTTGGTGCCATTGAAGTCGATGCTGTGACCTGTGGCTTTCATGTGTTGAACTAGTGAAGAAGTGTGTTCCAGCTTTTTTACTGCATTTTTGTGTTCATCCAGGTGGGTACTTATTCTTCTATTGGTCTGTCCAATGTATGTGGCAGGGCATGATAGACAGGGGACTTCTTATATGCCTTGGTTTTCCAGGTCAATTTTATCTTTGGGGTTTCTTAGGATGGCTGCTATTTTTCTGTCTGTTTTGAAGGCAGTCTTGATGTGATGCCTGTGTAGTATCTTACTGATTTTGTCTGTAGTACCTCTTATGTAGGGCAGGACAGCTGTTCCATAGGTCTGTTCATCTTCTAGGTCTCCATTATGTCTCAGTGTGTTTTTGTGGATAAGGCCAGTGATTTTGCTTTTGTGGAAGCTGTTGGCTGTCAGTACTTTAGTCAGAATAGAATAGAATAGAATAGAATAGAATAGAATAGAATAGAATAGAATAGAATAGAATAGAATAGAATAGAATAATAGAATAGAATAGAATAGAATAGAATAGAATAGAATAGAATTCTTTATTGGCCAAGTGTGATTGGACACACAAGGAATTTGTCTTGGTGCAAATGCTCTCGGTGTACATAAAAGAAAAGATACATTCGTCAAGAGTCAAGGATCATCTGGTACAACATTTAATAATAGTCATAGAGTACAATAAGCAGTCAAATATACTAGGAAACAGTCAATGTAAATGCAAGCAACAAAGTTACAGTCACAAGTGGGATGGGATGGGCGATAAGGAGTGATGAGAAGATTAATAGTAACAGTAGTGCAGATTTTGTAAATAGTTGGACACTGTTGAGGGAATTATTTGTTTAGCAGAGTGATGGCTTTCGGGGGAAAACTGTCCTTGTCTCTAGTTGTTCTGGTGTGCAGTGCTCTATAGCATTGTTTTGAGGGTAGGAGTTGAAACAATTTATGTCCAGGATGTGAGGGGTCTGTATTTTCACAGCCCTCTTTTTGATTCATGCAGTATACAGGTCCTCAATGGGGAAGGCAGGTTGGTATCAATTGTTTTTTCTGCAGTCCTAATTACTTGCCTTACATGTACATTCTGCAATTGTATTTCTTCAGTGCATTCACAGAGATCTGGCAGCAAGGAATATATTACTTACTCATGGACGGATAACAAAAATCTGTGACTTCGGCCTTGCAAGAGACATCAGGAATGACTCAAATTATGTGGTCAAAGGAAATGTAAGTATGTTTGGTCCAACCTATGTCTCTCGGTGGTAGCATCAAATTTTAGTTTATGACCATAAATCCCAGCAACTAGCTCTAGTAAGTGATTCTTCCCTCTAAGGATAGAAAGCTTGGAGAGGGAACCCCCAGATTTGGCTGGTTTTCCAAACAAAAGGCACGCTTCCTTCTGCCTTTCATTAGCTCGTTGCAAATGGTTTCCCCGATATAAACTTCTTCATCTCTTCTTTGAACTTTTTCACCAAACCACTGTTTGGTTTGGTGGCAGCAGTGCCTCAGATGGAAAGTCCATACAGAGAGTAGTAAGGACAACCGAGAAGCTTATAGGAAGCTCACTTCCCGTTATTCAGGATACTGCTCCATAAGCGCTGGATGCTTAGAGCTCAAAGCATTGTTAGAGACCCCACACACCCACTTCATGGTCTGTTTCTGTTGCTCCCCTCTGGGAGGAAGTTTCGATGTACTTCTAGCAGGACTACCAGATTCTGTATCAGCTTTGTTCCCCATGCCATCCGTCTGGTAAACTCACAAGATTCGTTTTTCTCGCCATGTAGATGATCCAAACTAGACTATGTTGGTTCGCTATGTCATATAATATATGTGGGCATTTGCATAATTTTGCATTTATTTATTCTATCATGGCTATGTAGTCTATATTGGAGGTGGTGACCCTTTGAGAGCTGTATATGCAACGAAATTTCATTTTAATGTATGCCGATTAGTGTACATTCAAAGTGACAGTAAAGTTGTTATTCCAGTTTTTATTCTAAACTTGTAATCTGTCCCTGTGTATTGGTGATGTCGTTGAAGCAGTCTGTGATAATGAAGATTCAGTTCATCTGAGGTTGGAACACAAAAGCCCGTGTTTCTTCCTTTTAGCACAGATTTTTTTTTTTACTGCTTTTCCTGTTAAATTCAAAGTGGGACGTAGGCATTTTACAGAGCTAATAAATATTATTACACAAGCAAGTCTGGAAGCCCCTTAATAGGGACAGTATTTGCTTGACCAAATGAATTGTGAGATCAGGTGTCCTTTCTAGCTTCTGGCTAATTATCCGCAACTTGGTTTTTCTAAATTGCGGGATAACAGTTTGCAGGTGGGCAACAAGTAAATTGCATTCCATTTGCCTGGATTAAAGAGCTTTTACTATCTTGAGTTGCCTGTTCTGTGGTCAGAATGATTTAGAAAAATGGATATTTGTAATTGGACCCAAGAAGGTAGAAGATGTTCCTTTACTGTATCTTAGCTAACCTAAAGCACATGTTAAGGAAATACTGATCTTGCTCTAAAGTGACAGGAGTCAGCATTTCATTTGGCTTTTAGCAATAATTCTAGTTTATTTTATTTTATTGCCATTGCACCTCGTACAATGAAATTAAATACCACCTTCAGTGTACATTATGACCATGAAAATAAACACAAACACACATCCTTCACATTCCATACATTGAATTGAAAACCCCTGGTATTGCATTAATATTGCACTATACAGTAGAATGATTCCATTCATTCTTGATATAGAATTTACCACTCTCATTTAAAAGTTTTACTTCATACAATTAATTGAAATAGTAATGCAGATTACTTTCCTAAACTTCAAAATAAATGTATGATTCTTGTACCATGCAGTGGTTATCATTGGATGAAATGTATAATGAGTCTGATTTAAGTAACAAAGCCAAAATAATAATACTTTGCAATAGAAATTGTAACAAAGAATATGAATTGTATAGTAGTGATTAAAAACATAAACCCACGGGTCTATATATTGGACAAATCCAAATTCCAGATGGGCTTTTTTGAATGTAGTCGAATTTAAAGCTGAGTTTACATTATTTTGACTTGAAAGGAATTGCAAATGGACGAAGACATGAATTTTAAATTAACAAAGATACAGAATACATGGGAACAATAACCATAGGACACAGGAAAATTGTTGTCCTCAAAGTCTTTGGTCACTTCAAGTGGAAAATTGCGGCAAATTAAATCTAACGTGTACAAGGCCACACAATTGGGAATTGGCGCTCAGATACAACTGCAATTAAATTGAATCCGGCGAGATGAGATGGTCATCATATTGTCCATCTCAAAGGAAATTATTTACAAGAGCAGCCAGGAAAGGAATTCATTCATTCATTTCATTCACTCATCATTCATGAAAAGCAGATTGTTAGTCACTTCTAATAGACAGAATGAAGTTTCACAAAACCTTTAAAGTAACATTTCCTTCAGTATCTTGGTGGGATTGTTTAATATTATATGGCACAATCGGTGCCCATTTCTATTGTGTTTTCTTCTGTGTTAGGAATCAAATTACTACATAATTATTAAATAACTTTAATTATTCATCAATAAAAGCTTCAGATGACAAGCCAAGAAGCTAATTTTTAATTTACTGGGCTTGACGTTAACAGCATGTTTAACAGTATTTACACAGTTTTGACATTATCCTTAATTTACTAATTTACTGGCCCTTCTGCCCAGGATCATATGTGCTCATTCTGAAAGGGAGGGTAAAAGAGAGACAGTAATTTCCATTTCTTGTATGGCAACAGATGGTTTCAATCTGCTCTACCCATTGCTGATATTCCTCCCCAAAGGAAAAGAAGTACAAGTTCTCAGGGGCGCTTGGTCTCTTTAATTGTTGAAGGGGAACAACCACAAAAAAAAGTTTAATCTTTCGTATTCTTGCAGTGTTCTTCCAGCAACAAGGGACTGTTTTTATGATATATTTGATTACATGCAAATTCATAACAACAAGATTAATTAACAATTAATGTACTGAAAGCTAACTGAGGCATTCAATTAAATGTTTAATCCAGTGAAAGCTCTGTCAAATAACTGTTGACTTTCACTTTGCATAGGATAAGATCTTTTATTGATTATTATTATTTTTTGGTAACATGTTCTTCCTTTTTCTGCCCAGGCACGGCTTCCTGTGAAGTGGATGGCCCCTGAGAGTATCTTTGAATGTGTGTACACCTTTGAGAGCGATGTTTGGTCTTATGGAATTCTGCTTTGGGAACTCTTCTCTTTAGGTAACATACCCCTGGGGATTACATATGTTCTTTATACAGGTAGTGTTGTGGCCTGTCGGCTGCTGGCCCCCTCCAGCAGCCGAATCAGAGGAGGAGGAGGAGGAGGAGGAGGAGGCATGGGAGTCAGGGCAATCTGAGAGTTTCGAGGGGGAAGAGGGAATGGAGCTGTCAGAGATAGAGGCAGAGCCTGGACCATCCATCAGCCCTCAGATGGAAGGTCAACAGCCTCCAGATATGGAGTGGCTGATGAGGAAGAGATGGAACAGCTGGGTCCAGTGCCTGATGTGCAAAAGGCAGAGGAGAGGAGAGCAGTGGAAATCTGTGGGCTGATCCTTGGGAAGGAAGAGCCAGCACTGCTAGCAAAGGCCCTAGCTCTAGGGGTAGGAGATGACTAGATATGGCTAATTGTGATCCTAAGTCAAGAACTACCTGCATTTGTTTCCTGGATGTTTTACCACTCTCATTTTTGAAACAGAAATCCATTTAAAATAGAGTCCCCTGGTTAATCAATACAAATAAACCTGTAATTAAAATCATATACTAATAGATAGAATCTTCTTTAACAGGAAGCAGTCCCTACCCTGGAATGCCTGTGGATTCCAAGTTCTACAAAAACATCAAGGAAGGATACAGAATGTTTAGTCCAGAATATGCACCTCCAGAAATGTGAGTCTGAATTTATTTTAAAATGCCGATTATCCAGTTTTGATGGAAATACTAATTTTATTTTACGCTGTTTTTTTCTCTCGAAAAGTTTCAGTAGTAGACTAAATCATAGATCTCTTCTCGCATTTTCATATATTGGCCAGATTTGTAGAATTCAGTTTGAATAATGATCCCGGGGAAAAGAAACGGAGTTACAATTAGCCATGGCACTTTCTTTTCGTCCCATTGTGACCACAGGCCCTGGTCAGTTAATATCCCACATTTATTCCCACTTGCATGCATTGTCCAATACTTCCAAATCTTTTGAAATTAACCCATTGTGGTGTGACCTCATATGCACGGAAGGTACATAGTGGTTATTTGATTCCTGATGCAAACCTTACGCAATCTGGATAACAATAACCATCACCATCACAGTTAAACCAAATTTATGTCCTAAAGTTAGATCATTCACGATGGTCTGATGCCACCGGCTTTCGATTATGTATAGCCAATTCATCAATTTAGTCATTGATCCTGATCATTGGTTTTCCAATTATAACACATTGCCTTATTATAGGTTAGTGACAAAATGTCCTTTTTGCATTGAATAGGAATTTGGGGGGGGGGCGTTGCTCTGTGTCAATAGTTACTCTCCTAAAAATCAGCAAAAATGAATTTTCCTGCCTGGACTATAAGGTCCCTTCCAACTCTGTTTTTCTGTTAATTGAAGAGTAAATGAAAACATCACTGTTGGATCTATTTCCAGTAGAGCATGTGTGTCTATGTACGTATGCATATTTTAGCATGTAGATAAAATTAATAAGCTTGTCAATCAGTTTAATTTTTTCTCTCCTTTGGCAGCATTTTCTGGAATGCCCGCGAGATTGCAACATTGAATGAGGATCATGTGAGCATTCCAGGAAAAATAAGGAATGCTTGTCTCAGTACTTAATAAAATAAGTTCAGCTCTTCTAGAATTCCTCACAGTTTACTTCATATGAACCCTTGCAGACTGTTAGCAGCATTCATTCACATTGAGAATTAAAAAAAAAATGCATATACAATTCCAGCAAGCGCCATAGCAGAATTCTTTCAGTTTCCAAGGAGTATAATATAAAAGCACAACGATTATCCTTGATCTACTGCTGTATGACAGATGGGAGGCTGGGACCCTTAGACACACATTGCATTTTTCAGAATTGTTTTAAGAAAGCATTTTTACACTTTTGCTAATTAAACTAATGGTTGGCTTGGGCAAAACGAACCAAACTGCATGCCTATGAATTTTCTAAAAGTTTCTAAAAAAAACGTGCTCAAAATTACGATCGATGTTTTTCATTTTCTTCATTCTGACTGTACCCATAGCTTTAACATCATGAAGAGCTGCTGGGATGCTGACCCTGTGAAGCGGCCAACTTTTAAGCAAATTGTACAACTGATTGAACAGCAGATCTCCGACACCACAAGTCATGTAAGTGTTGAGTATTTCAGCATAGCTTCCGAAGGGAGACTGAGTGTTAACGCCGGGTGTTAGTTGTTCACAGATCTTGTTTTATGTGGCATTCTTTTTTAATTTTTTTTAAAATAATTTTGTTTATTCAAGATTTCAGGGAATTTTAAAAAAGAGAAAAAAGTTCTCACATTTTACAGCATTGTCATAACAGTGTGTATATCCTTTAGTGACAATTCGATTCATTTACTACAAATATAATCTATCGCTTGTTTACTGTCCTTATTTATTGTATTATTATTAAATTACCTTATTTATTTATTTATATTACTTTACATACATACATACATACATACATACATACATACATACATACATATATATATATATTTACATACACATACATCATGTATCCTATTCTTCTTTAGAGTTTCTTTGGTCATTTTCACTAAACATCTTTACATTCTATTCATCTCGTCAAAAAAGATGATCAGATAAATTTCAGATAAAGCGTGGACCTGACTTTTGAGAAAGTTGGATTTTGAAGGAGGGGTGCACCTCAGTTTTATTCGGTATGCCCGCTGAATTTTTTGGGGAGAAGCTGAGTTTGAAGTATGGCTTTAGTAAACAGATAACAGATAATCAGAGTTGGAAGGGACCTTGTAGGTCATCTAGTCCAGCCCCCTGCCCAAGCAGGAGACCCTACACCATTTCTGACAGATGACAGTCCAATCTCTTCTTGAGAGTCTCAAGTGATGGCGCTCCCACAACTTCCGAGGGCAACTTCTGTTCCATTGGTTGATTGTTCTCACTGTCAGAAAGTTTCTCCTTATTTCCAGGATGAATCTCTCCTTGTCCAGTTTCCATCCATTATTCCTTGTCTGGCCTTCAGGTGCCTTGGAAGACCGCTTGACCCCCTTCCTCCTCTCTGTGGCAGCCCCTCAAATATTGGAAGACTGCTATTCTGTCTCCCCTGGTCCTTCTCTTCACTAGACTAGCCATACCCAGTTCCTGCAACTGTTCTTCCCATGTTTTAGCCTCCAGTCCCCTAATCATCCTGGTTGCTCTTCTCTGTACTTTTTCTAGAGTCTCAGTGTATTTTTTATAATGTGGTGACCAAAACTGGATGCAGTACTCTTGGTGGGGTCTTACTAAGGCTTTATAGAGTGGTATTAGTGCCTCCCTTGATCTCGATTGTATCCCTCTGTTAATGCAATTTAGGATTGCATTGGCTTTTGTGGCTGCTGCTGGACACACAAACCTTTAAAACACCACTAAATGGTGCATTTGGAGAATTGGAAAACGGACTCACTCTCTCTCTCTCTCTCTCCGGCTATACCAGACATAGTTAAACAGAAGGGTACATTATAGGTAGTCCTCAACTTACAATTACAATTGACCCCCAAATTTATGTTGTTAAGTGGGACATTTGTTAAGTGAGCTTCTCCCCCCCCACCCCCTTTTACAACCGTTCCTACCACAGTCGTTAAAGAAATCGTTGCAGTTGATAAATTAGTAACGTGATAATTCCCACCGTATTCAGACAAATTCCAATAAGCTACATAGAACTTTACAAATTAAAAGGTGGAATTAAAAATGGAATAATTTATGCAAAATTCTAGCAAAACAACTGTGCACCTACAATTCTGGGCTTTTATCGCCTAGCGTACTTTCAGCACAGTGTGCATCACATAATAATCGAATGCTTGGTTGTCCTGTTGAAATTCCTTCATTGCCATCTTCCGTCACACACACAAAAAGCAATTGTTTAATGCACAACACAAGTAATAGTATAGAACAATGCATCATTTCTGCAATAAACTAATAGTCATCAAGGAAGTTAAAAAATAATGGTTAATTTCCCTCTGGACAGATCACATCATAAATCTCACTGCTTGTTTTTGCTTTTTAATTGCCCAAAGAATTCTGTATTCCAATCCTTTTGAAATTAATTGTTTCCACTTAAATTGCTTTTTGGATATTCCTTTGGTGCTTATTGTCTTCCAAGGCTAGGAATGTCATGGTTTCCCCAGTGTAGTAACACTTTATGCAGCATTCATCTACTCTATACATTTTTAAAAAAAAAATACATTGGGGTCTTATTGCATTTTGATATTCTACTAAACCTAGCCTTGATCATATTTCTTTTTAATCCTCTCTGTAAATATTTTGCAGTTGTTTATGGCAGATTTCGGTATTTTCCTGATGTGAGTTTGACTAGATATTTTGCCACTTGGTGGATTGTTCCAGTGAAATGGACAATTGACTGCAGACTTCTGGCTTGTCAATATTTGGCAGGTCATAGCGCAGTGATGGCTAACCTTTTCCAAGTTGCGTGTCAAAAGTGCACTCGCGTGCCTGCACCCATGATGCAATGTGCACGCAACTCCCCCGCCCCAGGCATGCGCGCGGGTCCCCCTGTGCGTGCACTGCACGCCTCTGCATATGCACATGCAACCCCCCACATGCCACATGCCTCTGCGTATGCACGGCAGATACCCAACAATCAGCTGACTGGCGGGGGCGCATGCACAGTGGGGCTCTTCTGGGCGACCTCATGTGCCGGCAGAAGTGGCTCTGCGTGCCACTTCCAGCACGCGTACCTTGGGTTCGCCATCACGGCCCTAGCGGTATAGGGACTTAGTCATCCATGATTCTTACTGACTTTTCCCAATCAATTTTGTCCATGAGGAACTTTACTTCAGTCTTGGCGCTTGAATTTTTGGTGATGGCTTGAATGTCCCACCTGAATCCGGCATGAGATACATCCTATCTGTCGGAGGAACTGCTCTTGGGGCCCAGAAGGTGGCCATTCTCCACCATGTCATCCATTTTATGAAAAATTCTCCCCACCCCCTAAATGAGATCATTTCTATCCCTACTGATTTTCTAAAAGTACCTCAAAATCGGGCTATATCATCCCGCCTGTGGGGCAGGGGCAGTGATACCTTGAGGTGGCTCCCTTGTTGATCTAAACAGGCCACCCACTTTGTATGGGCAGCCATACAAAGTTAACACATACGAGTAGTCCTTGTCTTATGGCCAGAATTGAGCCCGACATTTCTGTCATGAAGCGAAACATTTGTTGAGTGAGTTTTGCCCCCCGTTTTACGATCTTTCTTGCCACCGTTGTTAAGTGAAATCACTGCAGCGGATCAGTTAGTAACCTGGTTGTTAAGTGAATCTGGCTTCCCCATTGACTTTGCTCGTCAGAAGGGTCGCAAGTGAGGATCCCCTGACCCCTTGGGACACAGCAATGGTCATAAGTATGAACCAGTTGCCAAGTGTCCGAATTTTGATCACATGACCATGGGGTTACTAACAAAGGTCGTAAGTGTGAAAAATGGGTCCTTTCACTTTATTTCAGTGCCATTGTAACTTTAAATGGTCACTAAATGAACTGTTGAAAGTCGAGGGCTACCGTTACATACATTTTTTTTAAACAATTTTATTTGAGTTTTCACAAAACAAAAATTAACATAGAACATCTTTTTTTAGTGAACAGCATGGTTCCAGGTTTTCACTTTTCCATACAGACATAATCTCGATTACATATTCATGTTTCATATTTAGTTTCATATTTTATCGCTACTTTATACATTCTCCATTAATTTTCCCTTAAGTATCTTCCTTAGGCTTACTTTATAGCTTTCTCATTCATTTTTAAATCTATTTCATATCATTTTCAAACTTTCCATATCTTCATAATCATTATGCTTATACTTTTATCTGTCCTGCTTAAAATTTCATTACATATTCTTGTATCGTCATTTCCCAACAAATTCCTCCACATTTCAAACTTTACAAAACAAGGTTTCCCTTATAATTACCAATTAGAATGTGTCACCTTCATATCCATAAACCTTTACATACATTTTAATGGATCCTATACTAGGTTGCCCATATTGGCATCATACTGTTCTTTGCCACGGATTATTTTTGGTCCTCTTTTGTTGTGATGCTGGTCGGATTCTCAGCTCAAGGCACAGATTTCAGCTGTTTTGTCTTGATGCATCCGTGATTTTTCACATTTCACATTTGAAAAGCCTTCTCTTTACTCAACAGGGAAGGAAGTGTGAAAGCTGGGCATTAAAACAAGAGAAGTGTGTGGGTATTAAGCTTCTGTCGTGACTATTTTGTTTGGGTTCAGTGTTAACAGTTCCTTTTGGTGTGTATGGGTCACATGGCTTTTTTAACATGACTGAAAACAGCCAGTGAAGTAGATTCCAATCAGGATAGGCCAATAGGTCTGTGGCCCAGTACCAGAGTGCAGTCCATACATACATACATCTATCCATCCATCCATCCAAATCTACCTACAATTTCAGCAACAGAGTGGTCAACGTCTGGAATACTCTACCTGACTCTGGTTTCTTCCCCAAAGCCCCAAAATTTTAACCTTAGACTGTCTACTGTTGACCTCACCCCTTTCCTAAGACGTCTGTAAGGGCATAAGTGCACCAACATGCTGGCCATCCCTGTCCTAATGTTCCTTTTTATTTGTATCCATTTCATCTATTCATAATCATGTTTATACTTATGCCTGTTATACTTCTACCTGTCTAATACTTGCTTGACAAAATAAATAAATAAATAAAATATCTATCTTATCTATTTATCTATCTATGGGTGAATGAATCAGTCAGTCAAATTTGCACGCCGCTCCATCTCGGCTAAGTGGTTTACAAATAAGACAATATGCATAATATGAAATCAAAAACTAAAAGCACATTTTAAACACAAGGTTAAAATTTACAAGGTAAAAATTAAAAAATCAAAGTTAAACAAGTGCTTAACTGCTTTTCTTCTTCTTCTTAATCAGTTTCGATGTTCTGCAGACTACGTTGCCTTCATTATTCAGGGTTTTTCTTTTTCTTCAAACAACTTTTAGCTGCAGGTGGTCATTACTTAACCACTTCTTCAGCAACCATTTAGGCTTAAAACAGTGCTGAGGAAGTAGTACTTATGACCGATCTTCAAAGTTTAGGCCACCTTAGCATTTCTCTGGTCAAATGATCCCAATACAGACATTGAAATCTAATCAAGTGTATTTAAAGGTGAAGACAAAACCGTTCCTTTAATATCTGCAGCCCTCAGCCCCTCCCTCCCTCCCTCTCTCTCCCTCTCTTCCACACTCTCTTTCCCACTCTCTCTCTCCCCCACTCTCTCTCTCACTCTCTATATATATATCTCATTTAATTGATGCTTGAATTAAACACTATTCATTTTATAGATGGAAACTACTTTCTGAAAACTGGGAGGACACATGGTTAAAGTAAAATTATTATCTCTAAAAAACAATGTTGAGATTATCGCAGTCAAAATGAATCAACACCACTTATTGATTAGCATTGCACACATCCATCGAAATAACTACATGAAAATATGTTGATTGCCTTTCGTGATATGGTAATTGAAATCTCCATAAAATGTAGATACGAAGCAAAGAAATCATAAACAGAATCAATATTCCATGCAAGCAAAAAGCAGTCCCTAAAATTACAGTGCTCAAGCTTTTATAATGCACTTTTATCAGATGGTTGAAAGCTACACAGCGTTGGCTTTCGTGGATGAGATGCAAAAAGAAATACATTGGTTGTTTGGTGTGGTGTCCAATAGACTGATTCTGATTTCTATCTTTTCCAGATTTACTCCAATGTTTCAAACAGCATTTGTAGTCAAGGAAATGCCGCAGATCACTCTGTAAGAATTAACTCGGTGGGTAGCAGCTCTTCGTCTACTCAGCCCTTACTCACGCACGAGGATGTTTGAAAATAGACTCAATCCATCTTGCTGGAGAATGTACTGTTTCAAAATGACGATCTGTCGTTCTAATGGTAGTAGAAGTATTGCAGGAGTTGCTCTGTGTTGCTTTCTTTTTAATCACATACAAAATTAGACTGCCCAGTCACACCACTGTTAACACTGCTTGCTAGGATATGCATAATTGCTATATTATAGGCAATGGCAATATAGAATCAGATTTGGGAGTGGGAAATAGCAGTTTCAAAAATAAGTATGGGTTGTTGTTGTTTTTTTAAAAGAAGAGCATCGTATGAAAGGCATCGGAACATCTGAGTCCAAAATGTTGATGTGTTGAGTGTGGAAGAGGAAATATTTGAGTAATTTCCATTATTTCCTAAATCTTAATGGGGTAGAACGAAAGCAAAAGAAAAAAAGAAAAAACTGACATTCCAAATCCAAGAACAAGGAGGTAACACTTGGTTGAGAAACAAATCTTGAATGAGCATCAAACAGAACTTATTTCTAGTAGAAAGTTGAGGAACTTATGGCTGTGAAGCAAGCTCGTAGTCATGGGTGTTAAAATTGTAACTTTTTGGAGAACCAGAGTCCCTAGCTTTGAGTTACTGCCAGTTCCACCTTGCTTATGCCTTTGTTCAGTATTTCCAAATGTTTCACTTTAGGCCGGTGTTTCTCAACCTTGGCAGTTTTAAGAGGTGTAGACTTTACTCCCCGAATTCTGGAAGTTGAAATCCACACCTCTCAAAGTTGCCACGGTTAAAGAAACTCTGCTCTAAGCAGAAAATATATAACATGAGAGGGACAAAAAATAATTTACCTGCCTCGTTTTTCTCCACAGGGTTTATATTCTAACAGACGTATTTTCTGTACTGTTTTCTCGCTGCCTTTTTGTCTACTACGTTCAGGGCTTCTGCATCTGGCCTACAACTATCAGATGAACCACTAGGTGAGAGCAGAGAGTTTTAAGAGTTTTCCATGTCTCTTTGCTGCCTTCTAGTGGTTGTTCAGAATTTGTAACTCAGATACAATAGTCCTGATGGTTTCCCACAGTATCTTCATTTGTAAGAGAGAGTTTTTAAAAAGTAATATCAAATATGGTGGATTTCCCAGTCTGGTGAAGACATACGTCTACTTGTGTTTCAAAACAGATAGTCATATATTCTTGGTGTAGCTCCTGTAGATTGAGTGAAAAGATGGCTCACTGGTTGAATTTGTGTATAGGGGTGACAGCGTGTATTTAAATCAGTCGAATTAGATTTGATAAAACTCCACCAATTTTATCAGGAGTGCATTTTTTTTATACTTTGAAAAATTATGAGAGGTAAACCATCCCTTAGTTACATCTGAGAACATCTTACTTACCTGTGTTGCTTCATATTTGGGTATGTCAGCATTGAGAAAAATAACTAATAACATGTTAAAATCAGAGCATTGGCAGGTAAACAGCAGTTAAGTGTATCCATTGTTTTTTTTTTTTTCTGAACGTGCATCTTTTTCTTAAATGCAAAACATCCAGGGAAGTCTTCAGAATAAGTCTAACAAATTCTAAAATATTGATTTATTTAGAATGCACTAGGCCTCTCTCGTCCTGTTATTTACATTACCTGTATTGTTACATTTACATACATTTTTGATAAAAGCAATTATTTGCCCTATTGCAATGTTATTAAATACTTCTCCAAATGCAAGATAATTCAGATGCACTCCTAATGCCCTCCTTGGCTTAAATACCATTAGCCTTTGCTCTGTAATCTGATCTATAATTTGGTATTCTTCTATGTAGTTTAGGGTTATAGCTACAAAAAAAAACTGGGCCAGCCAGTTTTATGGATGCTTGCACTGTTATACTGTTGCACCTTTCCAAATTTTGCCAGGGTTTTACGGGGAATGGCTTAGTCTAAACTTCTTAAGTGTAGAGGATTCCCATTCTCTTCTGTGAAAGGAATAGACTTCACACGAGCACTAGCTTCTCCTTACAACATGCAGAATATCTTCGTATGCTGATCAAAGGGAAGGCTCTGCAAAGTATTTGTGTGTACTGTCAAAACCTTACCTGCTCAATGGAGCCATTGGACTGACGGTTTCAGCTGAGAGGCCTCAGAGAGCTAAAGGTCTACCTTATACCTAGATGACACCACTGGAGAAGGCTGCCGTTAGCCCTGTTTTCACGTTCAGTACCCGTAAAAGGCACAACAGCTGACACATTTGAATCTGTACAAGAGTGTGTGAAAGGGATCGTTCTCCTTCTGGCACTCAACCCTGGTAAGGCTTGGAAATGTAGGATTGGAAACCTTGCAAAATAGATTCCCAGTTGCATGGAAGAATCTACCTTTCCCCCTCAGTGAACCACAGTAGAGGTCTCTCCGTCCCTGCTCCTCACGCCGTAAGGCTGGGGAATGGTGCTGCAGGTGGAATTCTTCTGTCTTATTTCTCTGACTTTCGCCCATTCAACCAGATCTGAAGCGGAGGAGCCCTACGTAATTTGAATAGGATATAGCCCCATCTTGGGATTCCCAAATTGCAAGAGAGACCAAAATTCATGTTTATTCAAGATGTGAATGCATCGTTCCATTCCGTCCTCCCAGAAGTCAAAAAGGCTAGGCGCAGAACCATCTTTTATCCAGATATTAAAATTATCACATGTGAAAGCAAATCTCTCAAGAGAAAGTAGCATTTTTGTTGAATCTGTCAGAGTTAAGAGAGGTGATTAGGGAGCTTCCCAAATTCGATGTATATTTCTGTACAGAAGGTGAAAACAGGGCTTGAGTCATACACTTTTACCTTCCTAAAGCTTTTAAAGCTACCAGAAAAATGCTCTTTGGCATTTATAGCAGTTATTCGCAAAATTCTAATAATTATAGGCACAGCGGTACTTCATTGGCACTTCGATGATTTATTTTTTTTTCTTTTTAAGAGTCTCAAAAGCTATATTTTTATAATTTTGTTTTTTTGTTCAAATGTAGTTTATGCAGCAGCTTGAGATTTTCAGATGGGTTTTGTTTGGTTGTGTTCTCATGTCAATGCTAAACTGTAGCAATAAGGTCTTCTCCACTCTTAGGTTCTTGAGTTAAAAATATTTTTATATAAATATATATATATATAAATATAAATATATGCACAGTGCCTGTATGTATAAATACATGGATGTTTGAAAGATGTATTGTTGAAAAGTTTAAATAAAGGTGTAAATAAGATATATCCAGTGACAAGTTCTGTGAGATTTTTTAATATACATCGAACCCAACTACAGTTTCTACACAAATAAATAAATAAGGGAACTTCACCAACAGCGACTTATTGGCATAGATTGTGGTAACTTACAAGTTTCATGGTAACCTTCAGTTCTTTCAGAGTATCTGTTGGAAAGGGCTGAGGTTGATATATACCTGCCTTGAATTGTGAATATAGATAACATACAAATAATACACCAATGACATGAATTATGCAATTTGTGGGATGTGTGAGAACAACAGGTGATAACCTAATGTTTCTACCAAACACTTGTAATTACAATTATGTCAGAAGAACTATATGCTCTGGAGACATCTTTCACCTTAGAGGACTTAATAATTTCTTTACTAAATAAAATACCAATAATAATCAAAGGAATGTTAGGCTTCACTAAAATTATGTGCAAGAATATAGGAAAGTGTGGAATAATGAATGCTTATACTTATATATACTTATGACACTGCCAATACTTAGCACAGCCAAGCTTCGCAATGAAATCTTGTTTTTCTACATGGCACATTACCAAAGGCCTACCAGAAGCTTGCACATATATAATAATAAACCCTGGTTCACAGCTAAGTTCAAGCAGTGACATCATGCCAAAGAAGAGGTCTACAGGAAACGAGAGGATTTCCTACAATCAGGCCAGAAATGTATTAGCAAGGGAGATCAGGGTAGCAAAGAGAAATTACTTTGAAAAGCTGAGGAATCAGTTCTCTGCTAATGAACTAGGAAATGTGTGGATAAGCCTGAAGATCATTGGCTACAGTAGACCCTCCCTCCCTTACTGAAGAGAATCGTCAACTGGAAGATGACTTGAATGTGTTTTGAGAGGAGATCACCGTCATCTGCTGCTACCTTCCCCATCTTGGATACATCCACAGTAGCCAACTTTACTACACCTATCTCCATCCTTCTGGGTGAGTCTCCCCCCTCTAGGGAGCTTAGCAAAAGATGTGGGAGGCCTAATCCAGTGGTTTCAAGTAATACTCCAGATCAGGGGTGTCAAACTCGATTTCATTGAGGGCTGCCTCAGGGTTGTGTTTGAACTCAGGGGGCTGGGGTGGGTGTGGTCCACTTGATGTCACTTGTGTCGGGAGCACCTGTGGGGGCCGGAGCTCTCTGCCAGTGAAAACGGTCTCTGGAGCTCCGTTTTCAGCTGGGGTGGCCTCTTGCAAATCTCTGCCAACGAAAATGGAGCTGGGGGGGGGGGGGCACACATGGCCTTCACGAGCTCCGTTTTTGGCTAGGATGGGCTCCTACAACCCTTTCCCAGTAAAAACTGAGCACAGAGCCCTCCCGAGCTCTGTTTTTTCTGGCCAGAGGCACCACGGGCCGGTCCTTCGCTGTTTCCAGGGTGGCCCCACAGGCCAGCTTTAAGCACCCCACTGGCCAGATCTGGCCTTGACTTTGACACTCCTGTTCCAAATGAAGAAGAAGATTGGAAAAGCACCAAGTCCAGATGGAGTGACTTCTTGCTTGAAAGCCTGCGCTGAACAATTAGCCCCCAACTTCGCCCTCATCTTTAATAAAGCACTGGAGAGGTGTTATGTCTCTGCTTGCTTCAAACATTCTATTATCCTCTTCATTCCCCAAAAACCCTCCATCAGGGAGGCTGTAGCATATTGCATGACTGCCTTCTTTCACATCTACCTTCCTGACCATAAGGTCACCTGACGCATCTGTAGAGAATGTCCATGTTAAAGAAGGCTCTTCTCCACATTCCTACCTAGATGGAAGGCTCTGGTGCCTGGGCCAAGACTAGAGAAGGACAGGCGCGAGGGCAGTGATGGCGAACCTTTTTATTGTGGTGTGCCGAAAGCACGCCCATGCCGGCACCCACAACCCAATGTGCCCCGCCCCCCACATGCATGTGCAACACCCTGCCCCAACCCCTTACCTGCACTGCGCATTCGCGCACCTCCTGATTTGTGGCCTGTTTGAGGTCGTTTTTGCCTTCCTGAAGGCTCAAGGGAAACCTCTGCAGCCTGAGGAGGCTGTAAAACGGGCCTTCTGGAAATACAGAATGGGCCAGTTTCGGCACTTCCGGTATTTCCAGGAGGCCCATTTTTCGGCCTCCCAAGGCTGCAGAGGCTTCCCTCAATCCTCAGGGAGGATGAAAATGGTCCGAAAATGAGCTGGGAGGTGCACACATGCACAGTGCAGATAAGTTTGGGTGGCTCTGCATGCCACCTGTGGCTCTGCATGCCACCTGTGGCACGCTTGCCATAGGTTCGCCATCACAGTGCTAGGGGAAGTGCCATTCTCAGAAATTGTAGAACAAGTCTTCATAAAAAGTCACCATAAAATGTTTTTTTTTTCATGACTAGGATAATACAAGTGAGACAGGTTGGCGTAATGATTAAGGCACTAGGCTAGGAAACTAGATGTCTGTGACTACTAGGTAGGAAGCCATGTGATTGACTTGTGGCCAGTCACTCTCAGCCCTAGGACAATGGCAAACTATTTCTGGGGGAAAAAACTACTACTGCCAAGAAAACTGCAGGGATTTGTCCAACTCAAGGCCTGCAGGCTGGATCCAGCCCACAGAGTGCTTAAATCCGGCCATGGGGCCAGCCTGGAACTATCAAAGGACCACCCTGCAGTGCCTTTGGTGGCTAAAACAGACTGCGTGGGGGGCACACACACCCCCGTGCCTTGTTTTCATCCTCCATGGCCTCCTGCAGCACTCTGCTGGCTGAAAATGCCCCCAAAATGCCCTAAAAAGGGGCTGGAAAATGGCTGGAAAACAGGCCCAAAACAGGCCAAAAAATGAGGCAGAAAACAGGTCCAAAACTGGCCGAAAAAACAGCTGAAAAACAGCCAAAAAACAGCCAGCAGAGTGTTGCAGGAGGCCATGGAGGGTGAAAATGAGACACGTGGAACCCCTGTACCCCATTTTGGACAGCGGGGTGCTGCAGGAGGCATCTGTCCTGTCCCCCTGCCACGCCCCCCCCCCCAGCCACGGAGTAGAACTACAATGCTGATCCAGCCTCAAAGAAATCCCGGTTGACACCCCTGGGCCCGGGCAATTCCCAAAATCAAAAATCACAATGGAAAAAAAAAAAAAATAACCCAAAAAAATAAAAAAAAAAGATGAAAGATGAGAAAAAGGTCTTCCGTATAGATCCTTCTGGGAGCAAATGTGGCTATTTCACTGTCACAAAGCCATGGTACAATATAAGGCAGGGGTGTCCAACCTTGGCAACTTTAAGACAAAGCTGGCTGAGGAATTCTGGGAGTTGAAGTCCACAAGTCTTAAAGTTGCCAAGGTTGGACACCCCTGATATAAGGTATTCAACAATGAAGTCCAACTAATGCTACGACGCATCCAGTTGTGGGGCTTTCCAAAAGCACAGCAGTTTTGCGTAGGCATAGCAGGGAGAATGGCACATTGGCGGGAGTTCAGGCAGCTCCTGCACTGAAATTTCATCTGGTGATTTTATGAGCTTCAAGTTCTTCATGGCAGATGTTATGCATTGCTGTGATAAGTTCTGGAAACAAAATGTAATAAACCTGATTCCAAATGGTTCACAAAGCGAAGGAGTTGCTATTGTCTGCTGCAAATTGCATTTTGCATTCTGTAACCAACACACAGGGTTTCCAGGTGGGTTCACATATCTAGTTCCTAACAAGTTTTTTTTTAAAAAATAATATATTTTTTAAAAAGGGGAGAGGATTTAAAGATGAGAAGTAAGGATATTAAAAATGTTATTTCATAAACTTCCCAGAGTTGAACCAACAGATCTGCAAACACCTAGAAGCAAACATAAAGCATATGAAGAAAGGGTACGAATTGGGTATGTTTAGTATTGATTGATTGATTTGATTTGATTTGATTTGTCAGTCGCTTACAAGATAATAGGTAAAAATATAAACATGAGTAAGAATACAAAAAAATGGAGACAATAGGACAGGGACGGTAGGCATGATGGTGCACTTATGCACGCCCTTTACAGACCTCTTAGGAATGGGGTGAGGTCAATAGTGGATAGCTTGAGGTTAAAGGAGTGAGGGTTTGAGGATGTAATAACAGAGTCAGGTAGTGCATTCCAGGCATTGACCACTCTGTTGTTGAAATCATAGTTTCTTCAATCGAGCTTGGAGCGGTTTACATTGAGTTTGTATCTGTTGTGTGCTCTTGTATTGTTGTGGTTGAAGCCGAAGTAGTCATTGACTGGTAGGACATTGTAGCAGATAATTTTGTGTGCTACTCTTAAGTCTCACCATAGGCGGTTTAGTTCAAGGTTGTCCAAGCCCAAAATTTCAAGCTGGTGATACAGGGTGTTCCGTTGCGAGCAGAGGAGTGTAGTACTCTTCTCGTGAAATACTTCTGCACTTGCTTAATTGTATTAATGTCCGATATGCAGTGTGGATGCCAGACTGATGAGCTGTATTAGTCTCGTGAAAAGAAGGGCTAGGGGTGACAGAAGCACTAGAGTGATAGCAGAGTTCCAATATTTGAGGGGCTGCCACAAAGAAGAGGGGTTCAAGCTATTTTCCAAAGCACCTGAGGGCAGGACAAGAAGCAATGGGTGGAAACTAATCAAGGAGAGAAGCAACTTAGAACTAAGGATAAATTTCTCCTTGCCCAGTCTTAACAGGAGACCACAAAAAGGTGCTATTGCCCAGAGGTGGGTATTCAGCAGGTTCTGACCAGTTCTGGAGAACCAGTAGCGGACATTTTGAATAGTTCGGAGAACCAGCAAATACCACCTCTGACTGGCCCCGCCCCCATCTCTTCTCTGCCTCCCATTGAGTCCCAGCTGATTGGCTGGGTCTTCTTTCGTTGCCCTGAACAGGAGGCTGGGGGAGGCAGTTTTCGCCCTCCCAGAGGCTCAAGGAAAGCCTTCGGAGCCTGGGGAAGGTGAAAATGCTCCCCCACCACCACCGTGGTGCAGGAGGCCGACTAGGCCAAACCCACCATAGCCACGCCCACCCAGCAACCAGGCA